ACCTCTATTGTTACAGCAGAAAAGAGCCAAAGACAACTTCAAGGTGGGGTATGTCATTTTGGAGAAACCAGCTCGAGTGCCCTAGAATTTGAAAGTACACAACCGGAAAAAATCTGCCTCTTCCTTCAGACTTCCAGCCCCTCCTCCAACACACACATGACCAATGAGAGCACGAGATAAGTTTGTGCACAGATGGAAGGCTGACAGGCAGGTAGGCCATCCAGTTAATTTAGCCGGGCCAGCTCAGATGATTGGTCGTGCTTTTTACAGCGCTACGGCTTCCACAGATGAAATGTTTTTATGTATTTATTATTGTCAAATCATTTAATATATTCATTGCTATCGGGATTTACAAAATACACACCCTGTAACAGTTCTGAGGATTTAGCAGCCAGGTATATATTGCACAGTTATTAACGGCATATATATATTGAACAGGGTCAGTAAAGAGGAAAGAAAGACTCCAAATCCAGACGCAGTGCTTCATGCAAATGTGTGTGTATATATATATATATATATTTAACCTTGTCCCATATCTGTATGTACATTCACCCAATCAGATAATCAGATATTAACTCATGTAATTTTTGTTATTTCTATTCATACTGTTGCTACTAGTTTATTTTTTTATTATTTTACTTATTATCCCAATGTATATTGTCATGTATCTGTGTTTCTGTCTTATTCTGTTGCTGCTATAGCACCCGAAGTTCCCTACGGGGATCCATAAAGCTCCATCTTATCTGATTTCAAATGTGTTTTTCTTATTCTTACTTCACTTGGATGTTTAACATTCTCTGAGAGGATTAGTGTTTGAGGTTTGAGTTAGCTGCTTTAGGCATTTGAAGATGGAAGATTGTGTGATTGACAATGATGAGCTTAACCACTTCTGTGATCCACATTGCTTACAATTACTGCATTAAGATTTAATCAATACTTCCTAAATCCTGCTCATAGTTTATCTGTCTTTACCTAAAATGACAGTAATTGGCTTCCTTAAATATAGGATGTCACTAGATATTTGTGTAGTGATTGTCTTTGTATGTCAGAGACAAGTTTGAGCCACAGGCTCATTAAGATCTTGTTGCTGACAGATTCAGATAAAAATATTGTTGTAAAAAAAAGACTTTTAATTCATCCTGAAACATAATAGAGAAAAATAAGCACAACTTGGAGCTAACTGAAGAACCAACCACACGAGGTACTGTCAACATCACGTATGAACATCATTCATTCAGAAAGTCTCCACTACAAGTCTATCATTGTTGTGCAAGAAGAAGTATTTTAAAAACATGTGGGGAAATGCTTCACATAAATACATTTCTGTTTGGTTACTCTCGGTCAACAACTGGTTAAACACGATTGTGGTTCACGCCCCGGCCTGTAGTAAACACCTGGGAAGTCTTTCCATTGGCGCTCGGATTATTAACGTAGAAGTCAAAACACGTAGTTAGCATTAGCAGAAATATCCATTAGGGATTACCAGACAAAGAAAAGGTCTCCACCCTAATAACCTTATAAACAGAAACTACAGGAAACATGACATCACAAACGCACCGTCATCCGTGTTTGATTGACTGGGAAGAGATTACCTGCAGGGATATATCCTGCACAGAAAAACGAAATGACGAAACTACTTAATCTTTTAATAAGAGATAACTCATGGCTAAATACACCCAGCTAAGTAAACAAAAATCCCATTGAAAACAATTCACTGAATAATAGAGAAAGTAATCCAGATGTGTTTACAATTAAATCAAAGCAGAGCATCTATATGTAGCTTATGGGTTCAACATTTAGTGTTACACTTTTATGGGTTAAAAAGAGTCGAGGGAATTTTAATGCTGCAGGTTGTGTGTGTGTGTGTGTGTGTGTGTGTGTGTGTGTGTGTGTGTGTTAGTGTGTGTGTGTGTGTGTGTGTGTGTGTGTTGTGGTAGTTCTGTCGGATCTTTGGCGTGTCAGGACAAGTTTACAGCGGAGCTGTCACCGTTGATGGCGGAGCGACATGAGAAAATAATTTAAGGAACAGAGAGCAGCGCTGCAGGTTTTACTTGAAGGAGTGAAGCAGCATTTCCCACACTATTATGTCTCCACTGAAATCCTTATGCAATGCAATTGTCTCAGTAAGTGGAAGAAGGAGGAGATCCAAAATGAAAGACATCAATCAGACAATGACAGCAATGCAGAAATAGAAAATGTCTAGATATTTAATACGTGAAAATGTAGTTTATTTGTGAGTTCAAAAGTTTGCAGAACTCGATATTTCTTTCATATGAAAAACCTATTTGTTTTGAGACTTTGAATGGGATAAAAACCAGATTTCGTTGATACCATTAGTTTAGTAATTAACCTTTTTATGTTTCAGAGTTAGTTAAAGGTGGGGTAGGTAAGTTTGAGAAACCGGCTCGAGATACACTTTTAGTTATATTCCATGGAATGCTCTTAACATCCCGATAGCAATGAATATCTGAAGTGCTTTGACAATAAATCCATAAAAAATGTCATCTGTGGAAGCCTTGGCGCTGTAAAAAGTACGACCAATCATCTGAGCCGGCCCGGCTAAAATAACTGGATGGCCTACCTGCCTGTCAGCCTTTCATCTGAGCACAAACTTCTCTCGTGCCCTCATTGGTCATGTGTGCGTTCGTGTGTGTTGGAGGAGGGGCTCTGTAAGGAAATGGCAGATTTTTTCCGGTTGTGTATTTTCAAATTCTAGCGTACTCGAGCTGGTTTCTCCAAAATGACCTACCCCACCTTTAAGTGATGGAAACTGCTGTGATATATAACAGATGTCTTGTCTGTTGCATATCTTATATGTATGTTAGTACTTTAAAATGTGATATTGTCGTTGCTTTTCTCATACTGTTGTCTCTTCGGTTAAGAGGACAATCTGTTTCTTTACACACATCTAAAGGAGTCTGAGGAAAGCAGGTGTAAAGCCCTGTGTGGTTTTGGGCAATATAAATAAAATGTACCAGTCTCAACTTGGAAACTTAACACAAAGTCAAACCCTGTGGTTCGAAACTGTTTCTCTTTTATTGTAAAACACCCTCCACATCTTGCTTGGGGCTTATGAATACATGAATATCATCTATTATTAATACAAGCAGCACTGAGTATACTCTTGCTTTTTCCGCTCAATACATGGTGCACTTGTTGTCTCTCAATTGGCATTACTGTTCCTTGGTATTCAAAAAAACACATTCACTTTTTTTGCTTTTCACAAGCTAAAGATTTAGATAAGTTGTCAGTGTTTTTGGCCACGTTGGCAAACATGCTTAATTTCCCCAGGTTGGATTTCCCTTCTGTCAACATGATTATGGTTTAAACATCATTACAGCAGCTCTGACAGGATTAGAAATGTGTGGGAGAAGAGAGGAAAAGGAGAAAACGAGAGAGAGATGATGACTCTTACTCCAGACGGTGAGGGTGATGTGCCTCTCAAAGTTTCCGTTGGGGAAGGTGGAGATGTGGCAGGTGTAGCTGCCCTTGTCCGACTCCTCCGTGTTCGGGATGAGAAGAGCCGAGTTCACCGTGGGACTCCCGCTCTCGAACCTCACCCGGCCGGAGAAACGCCCAAACTCTGATGTACCACATGAAAAGAGTTCAGATAAAGCCAAGGAACATGACAATCATTCTTTAAACAAAGCTCAAACAGACTTTTTTTATAAATAGATAGATAGATAGATAGATAGATAGATAGATAGATAGATAGGTAGATAGATAGATAGATAGATAGGTAGGTAGGTAGATAGATAAATAGTTGTTGATAGATAGAGAGAGAGATAGAGAGATTTGTACCTAAACAAAACACAAGTCTAACACCAAGCGTTTAAATCAGCATATCATAGATAGATAGATAGATAGATAGATAGATAGATAGATAGATAGATAGATAGATAGATAGATAGATAGATAGATGGATGGATGGATGGATAGATTAATAGATAGATTAAGACACAAGGAATAAACAGTCCAAAACATTTCAGAAATAGAAATAAAATAGCATTAAAAATGTAAAAAGTTAAAGAATATAACATTAAAAAATATATATACATGAGGAAAATACAAATTTCCCAAATAATAATAATATGGAAACAAAACATTCCTCGGCAAAATAAACCAGTATTTTTTAAATGACCCCAAACCCCTCACTTAAAAACCAATAGTCCTAGTATAATAATAATAATAATAATAATACATGTATTTATATAGCGCTTTAAACAGTCTCATTTCAAATCACGTTGTAGTACAGGGTTGTTGTATTTTTAAAATCATTCAAAGAGCCATGATCCAATATTAATTATGACAGACAGTTGAACCTAATGGTTATAAACTGGAATGAAATGTGGTTTTGACGGTTGTCACTTAAAGCCAAGGAATAATATGACAATCATTCTTTAAACGAAGCTCAAACAGAGGGTTTTATTTATAATATGGAAACAAAACATTCCTAGGCAAAATCAACCAATATTTTTTTAATGACGCCAAAACCCTCACTTAAAAACAAATAGTCCTAGTGTAATAATAATAATAATAATACATGTATATATATAGCACTTTAAGCAGTCTCATGATATGCTCTCATTTCCAATCAGTGTTATACAGGTTTGTTGTATTTGTAAAATCATTCAAAGAGCCATGATCCAATATTAATTAGGACAGACAGTTGAACTTAATTGTTATGAACTGGAATGAAATGTGGTTTTGACGGTTATCATTTATAATTGATTTCATGCCAAGCTCAGCCTCCTGAACACAGCGCCTGTCAACAGCAATCATACTACTCAAATGAGACATCAGAGGCCTGTACTACGAAGCTGGTTCAACCTAACCTGGATATGTTTGAGTTAGCCGGTTGGCCTAATCCAAAACATACACGCTCTCGCTAAACTGTACTACGACGTGGGTTATCAAGTGGATCGCTCAAGCCAGCCGTGTCCTATCTAGTTAGGTGCGCGTTCACATGAAAGGGGTGGTATTTGGAGCATTCGACCAATCACAAACATGGAGAAGCGTACTACTGACAACGCGTCATACTTCCTGAATGAAAAGTCAACTATAATATTAGACAAATATGAAGAAGTTAACATCGAACACTTTATCCAGGATAAAAGCCACATAGCTGCAACTGCAAGGTGAATACAGCTGGTAAAAGAAAAAGTGTTTGAATGCGTACATTAACAGGTTTATGATATCACTGCCCCTTCTAAAAATAATACTTCTGCATACAGTATGTGACACTGTGAGTGTTGCACGGCCAGATACGGCTCAGCTGACTCAGATAAGGAAATATATGATACATTATGATGTGATATGCCGCGGACTGTACTTAATGTTACTCTGATCCGGTTACTTATGTTGTGGCAGATATTTAAGTAAGCTTTCTTAACGCTAATGTTATAATAGTCAGATTGCTCTGAAGATGGGAGGTGATATTCTATTAATGTTCACGTTCACACAGTCGGTGATTTTTGCCGGCCGTCTTTCCTGCAACGGCAGTTTTTCTGTATTTCCTTTCTCCTGTAATATGACTTGATCGCTTTAAACTCTACACACTGAGCTCTGATTGGTCAGCAGGCAGTGCTTTCACTGAGTTGAGCTCTTAGCCTGCAACCTAACCTGCTCCGGGGCAGGTTAGCCGCTCAGCATAAGTTACCATGGAGATCTAGCCTGCTAAAAAGAGAACCAGCGTCGTAGGACCTTATTATACATCCATGCGTAGGACCGGAAACCCCGAATTTTCGCTGAAGTTAGCCGGCTAAGCGAAAATCCTGCTTCGTAGTACAGGCCTCTGAAACGCCTCAATGTAACATAATAACATCACTAGGTAACACTCACGCTGCTATTGGCTAGTCCTCCATCACATTGTACGTGATAGGCTAAGGGACGGGACATCTCTAAGCGGTTGAACAATCTCTAGTGACTGATCTATATTAGAAATTAGACAGTATGGGTAATCTTTATTGTATCTTCAAGAACCAAAACTTGGAATTTGAGTTAATGCATACAGTATGTTCTATATGGGCTGCAGATGGAAATGATTGAAAAAATCAGCTCAAATCTGGCATAATTAATCTCTTCTCTTTTCTGAGATTAATGTATTTGTATGCAGGTTCCTTGTTGAAATAAATACATAATAATCAGTGCATGTATTCGCTGCATCTCACCTGTGTGTCCGTCCACAAAGTGAGCAGTGATGATCTGATCCTTGCTGCCGTCTGGGAGGTCCTTGTACCACGTGACCTGCACCACCTTCTGCCCTCCCTCCACCTGGTAGTGGCAGGGCAGTCTGGTCTCACTCTCTGCAAAGGAGCGCAGCGGGGTTTCGGGCTGAGGGGGCTCCACGAAGTCTCCCTGCACACAGATCACTGAGGAGAGGGAGAGAGAGAGGATTTTATCAGAGATATTGAGATTGTAACAGGAACATGGAGAGTGGTAGGAAGGTCTTAAAGGTCACCTATTATGCAAAATCCACTTGTTCATGTCTCTTCTACATCAACATGTGTCCCCTCTGTGGAAAGAGATTCTGAAAGTTTCAGGAACAAAGATTCTCTCTCTTTTTGTCCTGATCCATTTCTATAAAAACCTGTCTGAAAATGAGCTGATCAGATTTTGGCCACTCTATGATGTCATAACGATGTTTTGGCTTGTGTAACCATTAGCCAATCACCAACCAAGGTAACCCCCCCACCCTCCCCCTCCTTATCACCTGAATCTCCTCCTAGAGCACCATTGAGTTCTTTTTAACCAAATATCTCTCAGAGGGGCGTGGGGAGGGGCTCCTTATTTTCATCTAAAGTAACAGACAGAGAATCAGCACTTTGGAAACAGGGCTGAAACAGAGGGGATTATGGGTAATGCTGTAATGTTTGGTGTTTGAAGCCAAACACTTCAGAGACATGTTTGTATATATCTGAGAGCTATATAATATATTGATGAAAAACAGTATGATAGGAGGCCTTTAATGTGTCATAATGAGAAGATATGGAGCTGGGGAACATAGGACCCTGGGAATGTAGACTCACTTCCTGAACAACATTGATTGGAGCTAAACACTAGCATTAGCATGCTATCGTTTTTAAAACAACCATATTAGCATAACAAAGTGTTAAAACAATTAATGCTAACATTTGCTAATTGGCACTAAGCGCAAAGTCCTGATTAAGCTGCACAAAATGTCATGTTCATTTGTTCAATTGTCGTCCAGATTTCACTACATGCCAAGCATTTCAATATCCGTTTGAGGACATTGAATATCTTTTTTCAAGGGCTTTCTCAGATAACTCAGTCAGGACCATATTGGTGATTCTAATGATGCTCCCAAACATTTTCTTGTTAAATATATTTGGGTTTATTTAGTAAGTCAGATAAAACAAGCAATTTGACGGCATTCCCGTAGGCTCTGGGAGCTTGTGAAGAACATTTCCCAACGCTTTCTGAAACTTCCTAGACTATAAATGATTCATTGATAATGCTATATTTAAAAAATAATTGCTAGTTGAAGCTCTAATTTCTTTCCACCTTAAGCTAGCACGATGTAGTTTCCTTCTAGACAACAATGCCACATGTGTACATCTTAAAACAACTAGATGCACTCATTTCCTATACAAAGCCCCTGACATTTTCCCATAATGCATTGGGCTGGAGTTGAAGTTGACCCCAGACAGGTTTGCATGTAGACAGGTAAACACATTCACACCTTATGGACGTCACAAGTTCACCCAACCTGCTCGTCTGATGGCACGCAGACAAAGAGCAACAAACTCCACAAAGAGGTGGAGGATGAGCTTCAAGCTGTGAGGCAAACAACAGGAACAATAGTGCTTTTATGATTCTTAATTCTCCCTTTAAAAATAGAAACGTCGCTCTGTTTGTGAATAGACTCTCAAAAAACAATTATGTTACATGATGATTTACTGTAGTTGCTATTTTTCCACACTGACTGATTTTTTACTTAAAAATTCCTTGTTATTGAATTATTTTGTCGTCATCTATTTAAAGTTTCAGAAGTCTATAAATACATGGATGTTTTTTATTTTCAAGATTATGATATTTTAGAATTAGATTTTGTCTGACCAGCAATCAGGTTCAGCATCCTCTTGATTAAAAACAATGTTTATCGATTGCCCTTCTAATATATTATAAGATATAAAATGTTCTATTTTAAAGTGTATTCCATTGATCTTTACATACATTACGATGTTTGCCTTATATTATTAATGTTTCTGTTTTTAATTACACTTTTATGTGGTTATTTCCCCAAGTATTTGATTCCTTTTTGATAGGTTGTTGCCGTGTGTGGCTGGAGTATAAGTAGTACAAGTAATTACAACATATATTTAGTACAAGTAAGACAGGGTTCATACACTTTTTCACCAATGACTTCATGACCTTTACCCCATTTTCCATGACCAAAAAAATAACTCTTTCTCAGCGGTACCACTGAAAATGGTTTATTTTAACATGGAACAGGAAAATAAGGTCTGCATATGAAACATGTTGTGCCGATCTAAAACAAATCAAATAGTAGGCTTACTAGCTTCTACAGACTAAAGCAACTCAAATCTCTCACCAGCAAAACACCTCGTCAGTTAAATGCCATTTTACGTTTCATTACTATACGATTCAGTATTTATTATCATTATAGTATTACTATTTCGGCGATTAGATAAAATATAAATTATATTTTATTCAACTTTAGTTAAATTCCCATGACTTTTCCAAAACTTTGGGAAAAATATTGTTTTCCAAAACTTTTCCAGGGCCTAGAATTAGCATTTTGAATTTCCATGACTTTTCCAGGTTTTCAATGACCGTAAGAACCCTGGCAAGTACAAAGATATTGTTCAATAATGTGAATTTCATTCCAAAAATGTCCATGACACAAACGCTATAACATAAAAAAACAGTGTGCAAGAATTCTACTTATTATTTAGCATGAACAGGTGCAATGTTTTAAATGTTAATAGAGTTTTTGCATGAAAATCGAAATTTTCTAAAGAAATCGGGAACCAGTAATCAATATTATATATTAAATATTTTACGGGCGGTGGTGGCGAAGTCGATAGGGACTTGGCTTGGCAACTGGAAGGTCACCAGTTCAAGTGCTACCGAGGTGTCCCTGAGCAAGGCACCGTTCCCTACACTGCTCCCCAGGCGCCGTACATAATGGCAGCCCACTGCTCCTAACACTAGGATGGGTCAAATGCAGAGAAACAATTTCCCCACGGGGATTAATAAAGTATATCAAAATCCAAATATTAACCCGACAAAGTGAGAGTCTTCAGCAGCTT